ATGGCTGGCTGGGGAATTCTGGGAGTTGAAGTCCACCCATCTTAAAGTGGCCAAGTTTGGATAACACTGGAGTAGAGGAAGTTAAAACTAGTGCTAGATATAAACTAGCACTAAAATAAGTACCGAATCATTTCCCTCCAGAATCATTACCTTCATACAGGTGGCAGTTCTTCCATGCTTAAAATAAACCTTTCTCTTGTGAACCTTCTGAAAAGTCTACAATGGAATCTTTATCTTGGAAAATATTATTTCTCCTTCGTAGTTCCTGGGAAGGTGCCCACACATGAAGTTCATTCCATGCAACTTTGGAGGTGTTATAATGAATAATTTATATGGGATGGCAACCTCCGCCAACCATTTTTTATTAAAAAAACCCGGCAACAATTCTGGCCACAAACAACATTTGATAAAAGCATTAATGGTATGACCACAGATTTCAAAATCCAAATAAAGCCACGGATTAATGCCTTCCAGCAGGACAGATGGATCCTTTTCTTGAAAGCCATCCTTCAGAAGAAAAAGATGGACCACAATCTGTATGTTGCACCTTCCCCAAAGGCATCAGGATACACACTGCTGGAAACACAATAGCCAGAATAGCCCAGAATAGGGATGTTGGACTAATTCCCCAAATCCCCACTCAGCATGGCATTGAAGATCATGGGAATTATACCCAGCACACCTAGGAGACATCAAGTTGAAGAAGACCAGCCTCCCCTTGTTGATATTTTCACAGGTTTTTCACTGCAGTCACATACTACACGGTGTTGACAAGGCTGGTCTTAGTACTGATTAAGCGGTGGTGGGCCTGGTTAGTTAGCTTGGGTGGGAATTGCAAGGCTGTGAGCTGGGCAAGGAACTCAGCAAAGCATCCGGAGGAAAGCACCACCAACCCCTTCTGTATGGGGCCAAGATAACTGCAGGGGTTCTTGATGGTCTCTGAGCTTGGTTGTTTGCTTGCAGACGTTTCCTTACCCACTGATGATGTTACCTAGTTGGGTCATGAAACGTCTGCAAGTAAACGACCAAGCTGAGAGGGCACCAAGGACTGCACAGTTCAACGCTGAGCTACACAGATTCTCTCCTCCTGGAAGAGGTTAATTGTCCTGTTCAACTGGACTTGAGGGCATCTTCAACTTTACTTTGACTCCGTCCTCCTCCTGCTGGCATCGCCAGTTTGGGGGGCTGAAGGCTTACGCATTGGAGGTCTCCCTTCACCCTGGAAGCAGGTGGCTTCTAACCGTCCCAGACATCTGCTCAAGACAAGGATGGGTTTTTGCCCATCTTTTGGCCTCCCACCCTCTGCCCACAGACCCTACATTTCCCCTGTCTTTCAGGGCAGCGCCTGGCAACCCTCCACGCCTCAAATCACCCCCCCTCCGGAAAACTCCTGCCGGACTGATGGGGCCCCGACGGAGATGCCGCCGCCGCCCCTTCGAAGAGGGGTCGCCCAGAGCGGGCAGGCGGGGCTGCCGCCGGCCACGTCCTCAGCTCCGGGAGGCGGCGCAGGACGGGGGCTTCGGCGGAGCATCCCCTCGGCTTCCCGGGGG